AACATGACTTGGGCTGTTAGGGTTATTAGAATCTCTCACTGGCCTTACCCAAAGGGACAATAGAAAGCAAGGTTCCCTTTGAAGCTAGCCAGACGCAAAGGCATACACAGTGATTTGTCTCTGAATTTTGGCATAACATGCTAGTCAATAGGGGAGTAAAACATTATGGCTCACATTTACAGAACATCAGTTAACATTCAGAGTAAAGCTCAACAGTAACATTCCCAAGAATTAACAGGCTAGCAAGGGAATCCTTAACGGAATTCCAAGAGGAATTGAGAATGTTCTCTTTTGTGACTCAACAAGGTTAATCCCAGCTAACTTCCAATAAACAGAAATTTATTGTGGTGATAAAATTTTATTTTTCACTAAAAGGTTTGATCTATTTTTAGAAAAATACCCCTAAACAAAGCAATGCTGAACAAATGGGACTGTAGACTCAGGTTCTTCTAGTTCCTCACCATGCCTGAGACCTTTCCTTGTGGCTCAATCCAATTAATACTTTTCTACCCATCATTTAATGTGTGTGCAAAATCTGATACTTTTCATCTTTCCACTCCCTTTTTCTTAAAACTCACACCTTCCGTGGCTTCCCATCAACCTCCTGACTCTTCCCACCCCTTGAGTCAGGTCGTGGGGACAACATTCCCAATGCATGCCCTTATCAGCTGCCACTCCCCACGCTCCGCATGATTTCTTTTCTCTCCCTAAAGGATGTCCTTCCTCTTCTCCAAGGATGGCTTCAACCATCACCTACGAATTATACCCCTTTCTTGGGACATCTCGAAGGCATCCTCAATCTCTCAGCAGTCACAACCATAAACTCCTAGTACTCTCCATAAAGCCTACTCTTCCATTTTTATTCCTTGTCATGAAGAGTGACACTACACACTCGCCAGTCATTCAAGCCAAAATCCAGGGAGTAATATGCAGGTTTGCCCTCTCTGAAAACCCGCCTATGTCTTCAGTCACCAATTCTACTGATTCTACTGCCTTTTTGTTTCTAAAGCCATTCCTCTCCTTTCATCCCACTGTCACAACCTTTTAAGATTTTATTTATTTAATTGACAGAGATCACAAGTAGGCAGAGAGGCAGGCAGAGAGAGAGGAGGAAAAGCAGGTTCCCCGCTGAGCAGCAAGCCTGACGTGGGGCTCGATCCCAGGACCCTGGGATCATGACCCGAGCCGAAGGCAGAGGCTTTAACCCACTGAGCCACCCAGGCGCCCCGACCACTGTCACAACCTTGACTCAGATTTACATCTTCATACTGGAGCTATAGAGAGGTCTCAGATTCAGACTTGCTCTTGTCTCTCTCTCTCTTTCTCACAACATTCCATTAATTCCTTGCTGCCTTCAGGAAGCCTCCACAGCACAACATCAAGGCTCACTGATAAGTGTCAGGCCCATCCATGATCCCCTCTCTGATTTCACGTCATGACATGGGCCTTTTACACTAACAGTGGCCATCTCCAAAGGCCTCTGTGCCTGTGCAGACACCACTTCTCCAATTGACAATGCCCTCTAATACTCATGCCACATCCCATTATCTGGCTTGGGGAAGGTCTACCAGATGGCTAAATCTTATTGGGTGCCTGTCCTATGTGCTAGGACATATTCATGTCATACTAAAGCACTGTTCACATGAAATTACTCTTATTTTTTATTTTTTTAAGATTTTATTTATTTGACAGAGATCACAAGGAGGCAGAGTGGCAGGCAGAGAAAGAGAGATGGGGAAGCAGGCTCCCTGCTGAGCAGAGAACCCAATGCAGAGCTCGATCCCAGGACCCCAGGATCATGACCTGAGCTGAAGGCAGAGGCTTAACCCACTGAGCCACCAAGGTGCCCCAGAAATTACTGTTCTTTAAATGTGAGCATATCTGCCTTTCCCCCTAGATGGTGAACCCCTTGATGTCAGAACTATGTCTTATTGTTCCTCCATTTTCTGTGCCTACTACGGCGCCTGGAATATAGAAAATGCCAAATTACCAAATTAATCAATGAATGCGTGAATTAGTGAATAAATTATTCACCTTTTCTCAAAGGAGAAATTCCACATGCTAACATCTGCCTATGAAAAGGGTAAAGGAAGACAGGGCTATGGCAACACATTTTATCAGTAACTGTTTGTGTTAACAGTGGCAGGGACATGTAAAGGCCAGTGAATGAATCCCCAGCAAAACATACTGCATATCCAGCCTCAGTGTTTTGAAACTTAGTCATCTAAGAACTTGTGATCCTTGCTGCAACAATGAGGAAGTGTGTATCATTGTCCTAAAAGCAAAGTGTAGGAAACGTAAATGCAGGAGGGTGTTTGATCTTTGATATCCGTCATTCCCCGAACAATCACAATTCTCCCAGCCCAGCTTAGGACGGCTGAGGCTGCAGTCTCACTCTAACCTGGTTGCGGGGGCCAACAACAAGCTTGGCCTTTACCCGTCCACAGACTCATCCCCAACTTTCTTCCCTGCTTTGGAAATGTGATGTCAGCGAGAGAAGTGACTTGGACCAACTGGATAGCACATGGAGACTACTAAGTCCCATGGGACCCTACCAGACTTGAAGAGTTCTCTTATAAAAGAGTTCTCTTATAAATGTTTTCTCAGGAGGGGCACCTGGGTGGCTCAGTGGGTTAAAGCCTCTGCCTTCAGCTCAGGTCATGATCTCAGGGTCCTGGGATCGAGCCCCGCATCGAGTTCTCTGCTCAGTGGGGAGACTGCTTCCTCCCCTCTCTCTGCCTGCCTCTCTGCCTACTTGTGTCAAATAAATAAATAAAATCTTTAAAAAAAAAAAAAAGCTTTCTCAGGAAAACCTCCTAAGAGACTATTTCTCCCATCTTCTCCACTCTTCCTTTCCCAAACTCTTTTCTTGGGTATCTCATTCGTCCCTTGGCTCCTTGTCTTATGCCAAAGATCCCTAAATGTGTATGGCCACTTCAGCCTCAGACGATCTTGTTCTGTGTTTTAGTCAGAAGAAATCAAACTCCTCCAACTGAGAACACAAAACATAGACCAAAAAGGTAGAAACCTTCTCTAGTACCATAAGATTTTCCTGTCAAGGTCTGATATAGAAAGAGGATCTCAAAGAAGTTGTGGTGTCATAAAGGGCAGGAGTTGAAAGGGGACAGTGGTTAAGCACCCATCACTGATCATCACCTAGAACTGAGCTGGATCCCAAAACCACCCAGTGGCATCTGGGCCCGCTTCTGTAAGGTACGGTTATCTGCCGCGCCCACCCTACTTAAATTCTCCCAGGCATCTGTCACTATTAAAGTCCCTCCTCCACATGTTGGCCATTCACTCTCCCATCCTGCATCCCAGGACGTCACTCCCTCTCCAGTGTCCTTAAGTCCTTCTTAGCCCCCTGCATGAAGCCATCTCCAGCTGCACTGAGGTTTGGCAGTCAGCCGACCCTCTCGCCTCCTCCTCAACTTGAGCTCAACTCATCATCAAATCCATCTCTTCTTCCTCTGGGACATGAATCCTGCATGCACGTCCCAGCTCAGCAGGGAGTCTGCTAAGACTCTCTCTCCTTCCGCCCCTCCCGAGTTCATGTGTACACACTCCTGTGCTGGCTCACTCTCTAAATAAATAAATCTCTTCTGTGACAGGTCACTGAAATGTTGAGGTTGGTTTGTTACAGCAGCTAACATCTTTGTGGTTAAAATCCAAACGCATAATTATTAGTCCAAAGATTTATCCCTAACATTAGAGTCAAATTTCTAATTTCTTTCCTCTCCTTTACCAGACTTACTCATAATATTTTGGGGGAATTATTCCCTGTCCCCCCTAGGCCACGCTGGGTTTCTTTCCTATGTGTGCCAGGAGCAACTTACTTCTCACAGCCAGCATAACCCATCTGTAGGATTCTTTGTCTCTTCCATTCTTGTAAATATCTTGAGGATAAAAACTGTTTTAATCTCCATATTCTTTGTGTGTCTGCTTGGAACTCAGGAATAGCTTCTTTGAAGAACACAAGGATAAATGAATAAATAAGGGATCTGTCATATTAAAAATATGAAAGCCTCAAGGTGGTGTGATCGAAGTCTGTAAAAGGCTGGAGAAACTAATTTGGGAAGTTTTAAAATCAATCCTTAGAAAAACAAAAAGAAGAAGAAACTGTTAAAGGTTGAAAGGATTTTGAAGATTTAAGGACAAGCAAAGGACGGCTTTACTGAGTAGTTAATAAACTTGAGGTTCTTAGAAAGTGATAGGAGATGTAATAAAAATTTGTTAAAAAAAAAAAAAGGTCTCTAAAGGAAACTTCATTTGTTTGGAGTACAGTCTAAGGCTTCTGAGGTTGATCATGAAGGAAAAAATACAGCCTTTTAGAACACATCCCTTAGATCCCTGGAGGACAGGAGACATTTAAAGCACCTCTTTTGTAATAATATCAAAATCATTATTTAAACATATTGTAATGATGTTGCCTCATGTTCCACCAGCTAACATCCCATGACAGTTCAACTCAGTGCCCCCACCCACTGTGCATCAGCCTTTAGAGCACCGAGGCCAAGCCCAAGATGAGACCAGAAGTGGAGCTGGAGAACAATCCAGCTCTTTCCAGAGCATTCTTTTTACCTCCTTCACCCTTCTGCTTACAGAACTCTTCCTATGCAAGCCAAGAAAGAAGTATCACAAAGCCCCATGACTCACAGAAATAACCAACATTTTCACTTCCAAGACCTTTCTCCTCTCCACTGCTGGGGAATCCCACACAAAGACATAACTAGACTAATCAAAAGTCTGACTATTTCAGTGACTTCTATTTACTCTATAAAAACTAACTTTTAAAATACAGATCATAAACGATAGCTGGGTTTTATTCATCCCTGACCTTTCGATTGCTTTCACTGGTTCAAGACATCTAACTTTCATCTGTGGAGATGTGACTGATCTAAAGGAAGCTAAGACATAAAACAGACATTTCCCTTTTACAGAAACAATATTTAACCTTTAACTCAGAACTTCTTCTGAACGATTTAAAGTGCTGTACTCACCTGCAGCTGGGATATCGTTAAAGGATATCGGAATAATATCCAGGTAACACCTTCACTGCAAGGCGGAATGGTAAGAGAGCCTTCATATACCCAATAATCCCGAAGCAAAGGATCTGTGCAACCGGGTGGACATGACACGAAAAAGTAAGTTAATTAATAATACTTTGGAGGAGGCCAACAATAATTTTCCAGAATTATAAATCATCTAAACAACACTTTTCAGAATGAGGTCATTTTAAACTACAGCCTCACACCTGTATTCTTAAACTGATCGTCACAGAGAAAATAACCAATGGGAAAATACGATGAGCCCTCGTTCTAGTATTAATACTGATTTCGAGTCATGTTATCACTCTGTGAGCCAAAGACGGCTCTACAAAGTTGATAGACTCATACATATGTGTACATATAGGTCCAGTTCAGTCACTTTCTTCATTTTTTTTAAAGATTTTACTTATTTATTTGACATAGAGAGATCACAAGCAGGCAGAGCAGCAGGCAGAGAGAGAGGGAAGCAGGCTCCCTGCTGAGCAGAGAGCCTGATGCGGGGCTCGATCCCAAGACCCTGAGATCATGACCTGAGCCGAAGGCAGAGGCTTTAACCCACTGAGCCACCCAGGCGCCCCTCTTTATTTTTAAGATTGTATTTATTCATTTGTTGGAGAGAGAGGGAGAGATTAAGAGAGTGAGCACAAGCAGGGAGAACAGCAGGCACCCTGCTGGGCAAGGAGCCCGATATGGGACCCGATCCCAGGACCCTGGGATCATGCCGAGCCAAAGACAGACGCTTAACCAACCGAGCCACCCAGGCGTCCCAGGTTTAGTCACTTTAGAAGATGTGTATCTGTGTTGTTTTTTACTATACTGAAGAATTTCCCTGACTTATTCATACCTAATCCACCCTTACTACCTGTGAGGCACTCTGCTAAGCATTTCACATGAATTCATTTAACCCTCACAGCAAACCAATGAGACAGGTATTATTGTTAGCCCTGTTTTCCAGATGGGGAAACTGAAGCACAGAGGGTGACATAATTTGCCCAAGGTCACTCAGCTAATAAATGGCAGAGCCAGGTTCAACACCAAGCCGTCTGACTTCAAAGACTGTACTTTTAAACATTCTGTTCTATGATAATTGTCTTTCTCTGATTGACTTATTTTGCTTAGCATAATATATATGATCTCTCTCATAGGAGGAATTTGAGAGGCAGGGCAGGGGTTCGTGGGGGGTAAGGAGGGAAAAAATGAAACAAGATGGGACCCGGGAGGGAGACAAACCAGAAGAGACTCTTAATCTCAGGGAACAAACTGAGGGTTGACAGGGAGTGGGGGGAGGGATGCAGTGGTTGGGTTATGGACACTGGGGAAGGTATGTGCTATGGTGAGTGCTGTGAATTGTGTAAGACTGATGATTCACACACCTCTACCCCTGAAGCAAACAATGCATTATATGTTAATTAAAAAAACAGTAAAGGAGAAGTTTTTGCATTTTTACATGCAATGATTTTAAAAGAATCTAAAGGCATTCTGTGATAATAAAGCAATTTTTACTGTTAAAAAATAAAAATAAAAATAAACATTCTGTTCTAGCTCTCTCTATACATCTCCCTCAACAGCAAAATACTGAGGTCCTATTACGACAGGACAAAAGAAATCTTTTAGTTCTGCATTAGAGGAATTCGTGATCAAATATGATGGATAGGTGTTCAACACATGGCAAAAACTGGTTTGTTGTAAAGCAACTAAAGGTAGGCCACAGATGATACAATGCATCAGCTTACGTGGTTTTGTTTAAAACACTGAGAAACAGCATATAATTTAGGCAGAGAGATATGAAGACCAAATTTTATACAAAACCACCTTTAACTACAAACTATGCTTTGAGTATTTTATACCGAGTTCTTAACATGTTTAGGTATACCTAAGTAATTAAGAGTAACATCTGTATGATAGTAGCACTGCAAAGACTTTACCTTAAATAATTAGATATAAACTTTATTTCACTCTAGAGATTAGTAAGAACCTCACTGACCAATCCTAGAAGTATATTAATGTTACGTTATTACACTCATGCTTTACACAGAGGTAGCAATTCTTGCAAATGAAAATCCAAAAGAAACTCTTCAGAGAATAATGGAAAAAGTGACAAAATGTTTGTTTCAAAAGGTTACTCATGTTTAGAGCAATCTGAAAGTACTACCTAGGACAGAGAATGTAAACTGTAAAGAAACTTTATTAACTAATAATATATAGTCGTATGTATTCGGAAGGAAACAACACAATCATATTCACAGTTAAAATCCTTCTTACATGACCGAGATTAACACCTACCTGGTAGTAAAGTGTTGGGATTAAAGCAGGGTATCGTTTTGGACTTCCCCTGAAAAAGAAAAAAAATCACCATATATTATCATAAGATTCCTCAATTTTAGAATAAAAAAATTACTAGCTCTAAGGACCCAGGTTGACTTCTTTTCTGAATGGCATCCCGGACTCCAGATGTCTATAGATGTCCCACTCTGTCTTCTCAGGGGAGCCGCAGCGACTGATTCCAACAAGACACTCCTGCTCTGACTCCATGGCTATGTCGCTGCGACCACAGTTCAATTCTCCCTACAATTTCAGAGAGAAATTTACAATTGTCTCTCTACTGTGTTGTCTATCTCAGTTTTCCTGCTCCTAAGCACATCCACACCAAAGACCTGGGTTTTGGTGTAAAATGCCTGAACCTGGTTCAGAAAATTCTTTAGAAATGACCTTCCTCCTGCTACTCTGACCTCAGCTCTTAACCTTCTTGGCATTACAACCTGCCTCCTAAATTCTCATTCTGTTTCCTTTGCATTTGGTAACTTGTCTCTATGATCTATTCGAGATCCTCTTTTCTCCAGAGAGGGAGAACTAACACCTGAATGAAAATATTCAATTCTACTAATGCCTGGGTGGCACAGTCAGTTAAGCATCTGTCTCTTGGTTTCGGTTCAGGTCGTGATCTCAGGGGTCCTGCGCTCAAGCCCCGAGACAGGCTCTGCACTCAGCATGGCGTCTGCTTGAGATTCTCTCTCCCTCGGCCTGCCCCTCCAGCTTATGCACTCTCTTTCTCAAATGACTAAATTTTTAAAAAAATATATTCAATTCTTATCAACTTTTATCAAAGTTGTATTTAAATTTCAATAAAATAAATAATTTCAATAAAATACTTGTGCCATTGTTCAATCATCACATTTGCAATCACTATTTTAAATGTCCCTTAAATTGCTCATGCCCTAGAGGCAAACAGACCCGTCATGATAGCTGGAGGTCTCTTATAAGATTACTCTGTCAAAGCAGACATAACACATTAATACGTAACCTCTTAGTCTCTTCCTTACTTCTAGGAACGGTTTGACACATTGTAAGAATCCAGCTTACTTGCTTCCCACCAGCCCCCTGTATTCCATAAAGATAGAGGTCATAGGAGCTGAAGCAATGAAAGAAAATTTCTCAACCCATTTCTATTAGACAAATGTCAGTCAAAATGTGTCCTTCCCCCTTCTTACCAGCTTTTTGACTAGTCTGTGCTTTCCCTTGGTAGCTGGATTCATTCTAAGCCTGCTCGGGAAATCTCTGGTAGACGTTTTTTCCCTCGTCCAAGACGCCCTGGGCTTGCACCAGCCTCAAGCTAATCAGACTTCACTTCCAGATTGATTTTTGGATTGGCCGTGGGTCTTGATCTTCGAATCTCTGCACTGTCTCTGCAGTAGCTCTCCAGGATTAAACTACTGCCCTCCGAGGCCACTCAGATTCCATCGATTCAACGTGCACATGAAAAGCACTGGTTATAACAGAGCTTGGCTTCCCAGCAAAGCTGGGCTGCATCACTACAGAACTGTGTCAAACTAAATCACCTTCTCTGTGATACCTGATCTTACAGCTTATGCATACTTGCCTTTTTTCGTTTTTTAACATAAATACTTTTTAGTATAGTTGCCATAATTTTTGTTTCAATTACACAACTTTCCTATAACCAATGGGCCGAAGGGGTTAATTCCACAGGCCTGGATTGCTCAAAAAGCAGCCCGTCTTGAGGACTGGCCTTGATTGGCTCAGAGGTCTTGGAATATTCTGCCTGATAAGAGGGTTTCCATATGCCAGAGGCCTTGGGCCACGCTATACCAGTTAGACCAGAGGAGTTTATCCTGACAATGTGATTTATGATGAAGGCTTGGTTTGGCTGGGGCAGGGGGTGAGGCTGGGGTTAGTTACACAGACACTTCATGCCCACATAACAGACTCCTAATAAAATCCCTGTGCACAAAGGTTCAGCGAGCTTCTCTAGTTGGTCACACTTCAAATGAGCTGTGGCATACCACAGTCGAAAGAGTTAGGTTCATCCCGTGATTCCACTGGGAGGGCACAGCTGGAAGCTTATGACTGGTGTCTCCTGGACTTAGCCCCATGCGCCTCTGCACTGTCCTCCTTTTTGATCTGTGTCTTTCCTCTGTCATAAACCACAACCAGGAGAGTAACAGCTACTCTGTGAGTCCTTTGTGTGCATCATCAAATCTGAGAGTGGTCTTGGGGACTGCTTTCATAACCGGTATTTTTATTTTCTTTTAAATAAGGACTTACCTTGTACTGAATATCCTGGAGGATTTCAGTCACAGCCTTCAAGCCTACGTGTTCTTTTCCTATCTGCAATACATAAAGCATAAACCATACCACAACTATCTTTAAATACTCCGCTTTCATTCAAAAGAACTAACAGAAAGTGAAGCTCAAGTCCTCCTGAATTTCCTTCTCTAGGAATAAATGACCTTTTCATTAATAACCAGGTCAGCATCTACAGAGGGCGATTAAAGTTGTAAGACAGACTAGTACAAGAAAGTATTAGTTCTAAGACATTTTCGAGAATTCATTCTAAATTCATCTTACTAGGTAGAGATTACTACCCACTGTGCGATCTGCAGTCGACCCCTAAACAATGAGGGGGTTAAGGCACTGACCCCTGTGCTGTTGGAAATCACGTACAATGTTTGACTCCCCTCAAAACTTAACTGCTAATAGCCCACTGTTGACCAGAAGCCTTACTGATAACAGCAGTCAATTAACATGTATTTTTGAATGTGACATGTATTATTACTCTATTCTTACAATAAGCTAGAGAAAAGAAAATGTTATTATGAAAATCCTAAAAAAGGGAAAATATATTTACAGTACTATAAAAAATTCATGCATAAGTGAACCTGTGTGGTTTCAAAGTCAAGTTTGTTCAAGGGACAACTGTATATCAAAGGATATAATACTGAAATTTAATATTTCAAGGATATTTCTAAATTAAAATTGCTCATCACATTTCAGACCCTTTCATTTTTTTTACCTCCGGCATTTCTAGATCACTGTACCTATACTGGGGGTGGTGGGTGGATCTGTTGTTAAGCATCTGCCTTTGGCTCAGGTCATGATCCCAGGGTCCTGGGATTGAGACCTGTGTCGGGCTCCTTGCTCAGTGGATAGCCTGCTCCTCCCTCTCCCTTTCTCCCTCTCCCCCAACCCCCGCTCATGTTCAGTCTCTCTCAAATAAATAAATAAAACCTTTTTAAAAAGACTGGACATAATTGTATAACCACCATTTTATTCTTAAATTCATCAAAATGTGCTGCTCATAGCTTTCTATTTTAAAACATTATGTATCATTACATATTTTTAGTGTAAAAAATGCTCCACAGAATGTGAGATTTCAAAAGAAATTTGACATTAAGTATTCCTGACTTTAACTTTTAAAAACTGTAGGTGCCATCTGATCTCCACTTTTCAACCAGGTTTCAATGGCCCATGATAATGGAGGACAATAGCAACAGGAGATAATTTAAAATCTGAGATAAACAATGTTATTATATGCTTTTTCTCTGCCCCACACATTTGTGCAGGATGACCTACAGAAGCTAGAAAAGCTGTCAACCTCTCAACGTTCTCCATTTCTCTCCACATGCACCAAGTGTGAAATATGCCAGGTGAAGGGGCATCAGAGAGGAAAGAGACAAGACAAGACACTTACATAACCTAAGATAGGCCAATCAGTTCAAAAGAGTCCAGACTTAACTATTTCCCAAGTGTCTGCAATTCCTCAGACAGGCTCAAAAGATGGAAAATGAATTCTCTAAAGTTAAGAAAATAATACTTGAGGCAAATGCATGAATGAGTGCAGAGTCCTGGGCCTGACCTTTGGAGGCAGTGGACCTCCCTCTTCATTGTACTGGTTTAACAGTGAGGTAGCACTTGGAGGACTTCACCTTGGCCGGTGTTTTTCCTTCCATGCATCTCCTGTCAGATTACAACTCTTCAAAGAGTCCTTATCTGAATCCAGTAGGGCTATATACTGGAGAGGTTCAGGAGCAAGGCTGCCCTCACAGGATGCCCAGGTTCTGAGCCTGACTCAGTGTCCAGGCCAAAACAAGTTTACTTAACCTCTCTATCCTTCAGCTTCCTGGTCTATCCAATGGGGGAGGGGTGGGGTACTGAGGATAAAAGCGATGGGGTTGAAGATAAGACAACAAAGACCTCAGAAAAGGTCATAGACCGTCCTAATTCAATTACTATCACCCACTATTATCCTTACTTAGAATGCCAAACAGCATCAAATACAGTTTTTATGGAGAGTAGTAGTATCTCAGCCTCCTCCTTCTCTAAAGATTCCGTACTTCATGGGCAAGAGTTTTAAATCTTTCAACAAACTCTAGCTCTTGTGGCATCTCTTCCCTTTCCGTCTTTGCCGGATTTCTGTGGGAAGAGGTGATAACCACCCAACAAAGTGAGTATAGATGCTACTCTGTGCAGCCCAGCCCCCGAAATCCTAGAGCAGCCCGGGTGACAACATAGCCTGGTGCCCAGAGTCAGCCAAGAACCTGGAGACCCATTACCTCCTTACCCCTCACTATCCAAAATGACCCCATCAGCCCTGCCCAGCCCTGACCCGTGCCTTTCCACCTCTCACTCTGACCTCACCTCATTTCCACTGTGCCCTCTGCAACAGGGGCCACTGCCTGCTGGACTGTGTGAAGCCCTCAGGTCTGCTCAAGGCCCAGCTCACCCGGGCCTTCCGAGTGGACGCTGTGCGGTCTCCCCCAGAGTCAAGGCTGAAAGCAGAGGTCAGTACCCTGCGGGTACCCTCCGATGCACACTCTGACCCATGGGCACAAGGCTGTCCTCCTCAGACTGGACCATCCTCCTCAGATACTACCAGGCTCTACTTGGGACGAAGTTATACTGTCACCACCTTTTTTAAAAAATGACCCACTGGTCACCCCCTCGTCATCCTCACCTCCTGCAATCACTAAGAGGACCTCGACTCCCTGGAATGTGTCTTCACCCCTAGCCCGTGGCTTCCAGCCCCATTCTACCTCGGCACTCATCCTGAGAACATTCCCTGAATTTGTTTTCCCTCTGAAAACTTCTGCTCTGAAGACCATTCCCTTTGACCACAGCTTCTCATCCATGCAGCTCTTACCCTCTCCTCTCTCTCTCTCTCCCCATTCACTGATCTAAGGAGCCACGGCTCCCAGGGGCCTCTTGGCTTTGTCTCTTTCCCTTCCTGACACCTCTCTAGCCATCCTCCATTCTCTCACCCCTGTGTCATCCTAAGCCATCTGCTCTGCAAGAGATCAATTCAACAATTCTTGATAAGTTTTCTACTCTTCTACTTGGATAGAGAAACAAGCCACACCATCTATGATGTTCAGTCTCAAGTGGGTCTCCCACACTGACTGTCACGTCTGTTACCACTCCCCTCTGGGCTATTTCAAAACCCAACTCCACACCCATGCTTCCCTTGCTCTAGAAATAATTCTGCTTCACGTGTCTCAGAGATGATGAAGGTCATCAAGCATGAGCTCCTCTAACTTTATGCCTTTCTTCATCTTTAAATCCATCCTATTTCTACCCACTCTTTCTTCCTGCTCTGCTCTGGTTAAAGTGTGGATGCCCCCTCATTTCCGAGGTTAGTCTACCCACAAAAGCTCTCTATCCAGCATCTTCTTGTCTCCTCCAGAACTCTTATATATCAAGTATCCCCTTTTTTCCCAGTATTTTTAAACTCTGCATCTGCACTCATGCTTTTTGCTCAGAATAAACATATAGGCAGATCGCAGATCTTGAAATGAGACAAAGAGAACTTTCCTATACATCAGCATGAGTTATTACCCCCATCTGTCTTTCTTTTCTTGAGCCATGCTTCTTGAAAGGGAAACCTACGCTCACCGCCCCTGCCTCCCCCCACCTCCCCCCTGCCTCCCGTTCTCCCACTCCTCCTGCCGAAGTGTGAGAGCCCCAGATGGACTTCAGTCCCTCTCGTCTCCGCTTCAGTGGACACTGCTCATCAGTCCTTCTTTCTTTCATGAGATTCTGCTCTCGGACTTTCTGTAAGTTGACTCTCTCCTAGGTAACCAGAATGGCTCCTCACAGCAAACTCGGGGAAAGTTAGAACAGGTGCACGTGCTCATAAGCTTCCCTGGGGCCTACAACCATGAGCTTCTTCCTGGAATACTGATGCTGGTTCCCAGAGCCCTGGCTTTCAGCCTAGTGCTCTATCAGCCTATGCCACCTGACCTATGCTAAGGATAAGTAAGTGAGAATATTCTCATATTTAATTCCATTCACAAATATTTAATGAATTCCAACTCCAGAGATGAAATGAACATGTTTATTTCTCCTCTTGATGTGACTGTTCAGTTATTTATTTTATTTTATTTCATTCATATTTTTTAATAACAAGACATTGCCTTCTACTTCTATTGCCTCAACTTCTCAAATTTGGGCACTTTATTAATTTTTTCAGGTTACAAAAGTAGACTTCAATAGTTACTACTTTAGTACACTAGAAATCATCAAAACATTTTTACCAGTGTCTTGATAACATGATTTTATTCTGCTTATACAATGCAGTTATAAAATAGGCCCTTGCCTATAGAAAAAAAGAAGCCATGAAGTAAAGAGTAAGAAGGTTCATTTAAAACTCTGGGAATTTGCTTTTAAATTCTGTGACAGGTGTCATATTTTCAAGATACTGCTATTTTAAAATCAAATAATTTAAAATAAAATAAAAAGGCTAAAACCTTTCTGTCAATAGACAAATATCTGAGTGAGAAATTTATAAAGGAAAACTGCTGTGCTTAATATTACTATTAAAATATATACGACACCAAAAAAGCAGGTTTGCAAAGGCCTCACTTTCTTCGAAAAATTAAGTTACTGACAATCACTGTTCTCATATGACTGCTCTAGTCTCACATTCTCCAAAAGGAGAGCCCAGAATCACGCAGAACTGCAGTTACAGCAATGGTTTCTGGTCTTGACGGTGACACTAAATCTGTGTGTGACTGTGATCTGTGACCGACCTCTCTGGCCCTTGTAGGACCATTCTGTAGGATGGGGAAGGAGAAAGTAGGGTCTCTTTTACCTCTTCATCTTTTAGGACATCCAACAGACAAGACAAAGTTAAAAAGACTCATGGCAGGGGTAGGGGACTAGATTAAATTTTTACTTTTGGGTGGCTCAGTGGGTTAAAGCCTCTGCCTTCGGCTCAGGTCATGATCCCAGGGTCCTGGGATCGAGCCCCGCATCGGGCTCTCTGCTCAGCAGGAAGCCTGCTTCCCTTCCTCTCTCTCTGCCTGCCTCTCTGCCTACTGTGATCTCTCTCTGTCAAATAAATAAATAAAATCTTTAAAAAAAAAAATTTTTACTTTTGAAAGTAGTCTGTTTTTAATATGTTTCACAAAATTTATTTAATATCCTTTGCCCACTACAGAGCTCAAACCTAAACTCTATATTAACTGTATCCACCAAGATCTTCACCAGTCTTATTTTATCAGTGTTTTCGATCAGACACTTCAAATCATCTTGGAGTAAAAATTATTAATAACAACGAGCTAAAAGAGTCTACTACATGATTACATTATTGATTTTTCTTCAATTTCACAGCAAGTGCCAGGGTCCAAAAACATTTTCTAAAATTCTTTTTCATTAATAAAATGAACTCTGCCTTCAGGAGACATTTTCAACATCATTTCTCCAAAGACCCTGAAGCTCAGTTAGAAAAAAATGTCTACAGACTAAATGAACAATTTGCTACCCGTGAATATGGCTGCTCTCTCGTGAGCCAGAAGAATCAGGTGTCCTCTTCTCAAATGAGCTGTGTTCTCTGCACAGGAGTTTAAGAAGTAATAAAACTGAGAGCACAAAATTTTCTGCCAAGGAATCAGAAATAAGGATTCTGAACAACAGAACAGTCACAGCAGGAGACCATTTACCTGAACAAACAAAGCAATAATGGCAATGCCATGTGGCTTCCCCACGGCCTCGTCGATACTGCCAAACAGGGTGGAGTTCCAGTGGATCAGATGGAGCTGGGGAAACAAGACAGGTCGTCTCGTTATTAATGCATTTCTAGTGAAAACCGCAAGGACAGATCAATTTTTCCTTAATGAGGTCTGTTACGTCTCTATGGTACCACATGCAACGGAAGTGTCCCAAACAGACACACACAGACCACTGCTGGAATCCAGATTCTCGAAGAGTCTTTCCTACTTATTTCCAAACAGCTGTTAATGCTCAGTAGATTGCGGACTCTTCAGTTCCGCTTTAATCCTCATCAGGAGCACATCTAAGGAGACCGGCAGAAGGCTCATTGATTTAGTCGCCTTGCCTTTCATAAATGCTGTCCCCTCTGGTTTTCGAGAGGACAAAACCCCGGGTCTGGACACAAACACCAGCACTCGTTCCAGGGATTAATACCCACAAAATCACATACTGTGTCACCGGGTATTTCCATCAGAACCACGACAAAGCCAGCCTCAAATTCTGGTAAATTATTTCAATTCTCCAAGGATATACAGAGAGAGCACCCTACAATGCGGCATCTTCTTCAAGTCATGGTAATGTTGTTAATGAATGTTGATGGAGAGCTCTAAAAGAAGGCCATTTCCTGCACCAGAGATAAAGTTTTATCTGTGAAGGAATGACAAACAGTGCTCTAGAGGGACTCCCTCACTCTTAGCTTCATAAAGCTTTGTGGCTTTCAAGTTTATCTAGAACGTGCACTTGCTCCTACAGCACTGATAAAACACTGGCAAGAAGCCAAATTCAATTCCCTGGTTCAAATCAAATGCCCACTGAAGTCCTTAGGAAAACAGGTCATCCTAGCTAGGTCATCCTTCTGCCGAGAATGCTATCTTCATCACTACAGCTTTTAATCAAGTCATAATTACTTACCACGTTAAAACACTGCCTTGTTTAAAAATCAGTTCGAATCCAAAAGGACAGAGCTAAAATTCAATCACCATGTCATTTTAGCATCCTTAAAATGTGAAGGTACGTTATCGTTGAGAATAGGCACTGATTTGCTTTTTCTACAGCTGAACTTGTCCTACTAGAATGCGAGATTATTAAACTGACCGCTAGAGGGAGGCAATGAAGTCCTCTGCCTGTAATAGAAGCTGGAACCTAGAAAAAGACCACATTCAAGGCCAAGCTAGGACAGGCTATGAAAAGCCAACATGGACCGCGACCGCCCAGTACATGCAACTGTCAAGACACTGTCTTTGAGAAAACAATGCTCCATAACGTTTCAATTAATAATGAAAGACAAACCAATTTTAATCTTTCCTCGTCTGGCTGCAACAATAGCATGGAGTCCCAGTGGTACAGATAAGTGTACAGTGTACAGATAAGAACCGACTAACTTAATTAAATAAACAAAGAAGGCCCAAAGTTGAAATCTATTTTTATTCGACAAATCACAAAGTTCAGATCAACGTTTTTCTTACTTCTCATAGCAATATTATGGGGTATTTTTTTCTAAAATAAAACAAGTCCCCTCAAAACCCTGGTTTCTTTTTGTGTTTCACCTTGCCACTCCTTAGAACTCAGCAACATTGTTTACTCACACCTGATCTTCCACACCTGCTTAGCGGTCTTTTGCATTTAAAAAATTGAGGGTACCCACGCCATAAGCAGACACTGCACACGGTGACTTTGTTTCAGGGAGTGAGTTTACAGTGAAGAAACCAGGCAAACGATCCCTGGACCAGGGGAGAAAGGTCAGCAGCTTCAGTGATCAGCGTGCGCCGTTGACAGGATGTGGTACAAATGACACGTTCCCCCCATGGTCTCCCCACCACCCCATAACCCATAACCCCATCTAATCATGGAAAAAAACATCACACGGATCCCAGCAGAGGGACAGTCTACAAAATACTTGACCTAATACAAAATATCTTTTGTACTCTTCAGAATAGTCAAGGTCAACAGAAACAAGAAAACCTGAGAATATGTCAGTGACAAAGGGACCTAAGGAGACATGAGAACTAAATGTAACATAGTATCATAGGTGAGTTCCTGGAACACAGAAATTAATTTAAAATTAAGGAAACTGAGGGGCATTAATTTAAAATTAAGGAAACTGAGGGGCGTCTGTGTGGCTCAGCTGGTTAAGCATCTGCCTTTGGCTCAGGTCATGATCCTGGGGTCCTGGTATGGCTTAGTGGGTTAAGGATCTGCCTTCAGGTCAAGTCATGATTCCCAGGGTTCTGGGATCGAGCCTCACACTGGGCTCCCAGCAAGCCTGCTTCTCCTTTTGCCTCGTCTGCCTGCTGCTCCCCCTGCTTGTGTGCTCACTCGCTCTCTATGACAAATAAATGTAAAAAAAAAAAAAAAAAAAAAAAAAAGTCTAGGTGATTTTTAAAGATGTGATAACGCTTCAATCAGTAGACTTTTAGTAAAGTGGATTAATCCCCATAATGTGGGTAAGCTTCATCTAATTCATGGAAGGCTTGGGAGCAAAGACTGAGGTCCTCTGAAGAAGAAATACTCCCTCCTCCAGGTTATAACATACAAATTCTACCCCAGTTTCCAATCTATGACCAGCCCTGCAGATTTTGGACTTGCCAGTTCCTGTGATCTCATGAGCCAGTTCCTTAAAACAAATCTTAGTTTCTCCCTCCCCCCATTCTCTGTCTCAGATATGTATTCTCAATATATATTTTGTTCCTCTGGAGAACCCTGACCTATGCACAGGTTGTACAGACAAGTAAACAAGCAGGAAATGTGGAGACAAATGGAGGTTTAAATATGAACAAGACAAGTAGCCACAGGGATAAAGACAAAGGAACCTGACAATTAAAATGACAGTGTTTGGAATTTCCTCTCCTAAGCCTAAGCAGGGTTGCTGTAGGGAAGGGGCACGGAGGGACAAAACAATTCACAAAGGATCAGAAAATACATACCAGAACTTCTGCTCATTTATTTTTGTCCTTTTTTAAAATTTTAGCTTCCCTATACCTCACAAAATAATTACACAGAAAAAGACAGACCTAGATCAAATACATATAAGCACGTGTATTTATTCCTGAATACGAACAACAGTGAGGGTAGGTGCTCCAAGATCTGCGGAGGGACAGCAGAGTTTGAAGGGCAAGGCGTGGGACACAAAGAACCTGGCTTAGAAAATGATGAAGCGGCCCATCCAGTCAAAGGGAGGCTATCGCAGAGGTCCAAGCAGATGCTGTTATCAGTCGAGGGAACTGGGAAGTGGAAGCTAGGAAGCTAACTTCAAAGCCTAATGGTAGACACCGGCTCTGGGGTGTGTCTGGCCCGTGGAGAAGACTACAGAGCACCAACGCGGGGACACCGGGCACTTCTGCAACCCTATTGATAAATTCTGAGCGGCAACATGCTCTCACAAAAGGTCTGTGCACCAGCAATCAAGTCTTAGAGTCTTGGTTCAGTTCACAGCTCTCTAGCTCTGTGAACTTCACAAGTCACTGACTTGTCTGAGAGTCAGGCTCCGTGACACAAGGAGAGCGGTGTCTTCCCAGCTTGGCTTCTTCACACCTCTCCCTGCCCACCCAAGGACTCTCTTTATCCCTCCATTTCTCTCCCTGGGCACGATCCTGCTCATTAGCCTTAATCATATGCAGGCAGCAAAGGCCAGGAAGCAGGGGGATGAATTTTCAGAGTGGAGAGTGGCTTATTTGAGAATCAAACCTGAGCGTCTAAATGACCCTGACTGTGGCTGAGGAGCCTAGGGGTGAGACAGCACCTTCACCACAAGGGCCACCTGGACTCCTGACGCTCCCACTCACTCTGTCAGGGTCCATGGGACCCAAGATGACTGGGGGCAGGGCTCTGCCTCACCAAGGCCTTCCAGAGCCTGAGCATATAGCACAGCAAGTGGCATAGGGCCTCCCTCTTGCCCCTTGACCCCCAACTCCCACTATGGCTACCAACAACAGTAGCTAAAAAAAGAGAGAACTCTTCAACAGAAACAACAGGGCAGTTCTCCACGCTCCCCTCAGGGACTCACCCTCAAAAGATGAAAGGTTTTGGCTTCTTCCCAACCTGGGTATGTCTGAGTAGAAGACAGTGGTTTTCTCTATCAAAGCCAAGGCTTTCCTCACTTACTGTTCTTCCCCCAACCCCCACCATCCCCCAACCCCCACCATCCCCCAACCACAAGGCCTCAAGGTATGTGACCTCCTGTGAGGTATATATGTACATATTGTGGCGACTGGATGGCTCAGTTGTTAAGCATCTGCCTTCGGTTCAGGTCATGATTCCAGGGTCCTGGGATCGAGCCCATCAGGGAGCATCAGGCTCCCTGCTCAGCAGGGAGTCTGCTTCTCCCTCTCCCACTCCCCCTGCTTGAGTTCCCTCTCCCGCTGTGCCTCTCTCTGTCAGATAAATAAAATTTAAAAAAAAAAAAAAAGCACAATGTCCATATTATGGAGAAATAAGAAAGCAGAGAGCCATTATTCCTCTTATCCACATCATGACCATCATTCCTTCCTATTAAAAAAAAACAAAAACAAAAACAAACAAACAAAAAGCTGACCCTACAATAACAACTGTAAAGCATCCTTTTACAGTTTCAGAGAAAATCACAAGTTTTGCTGTAGGGCTCACAAATTCAAATTTCCTGCAAATGATTACGCCGCTCTGCCATTAGTACCCGTGAAACGTTAATCTTAATGTACTTAACTCACAGCGATAGATAAATTTGTCCAAAGTTATGAAACTGTGACAAACCATAGCCTTATAATCACTTATTTGTCATTGAGAAAAATAAGTTTGAAGATTTCATGGCAGCCTAACAGAAAGCTATCTTCAAGATAAATGAGGCTTATTATTAACATAAATAACACGACAGCATTAAAGTACAAAAGAATGAATCATGAGGACTGGAAAAGGCAGTGAAGGCTAAAAAGGCACTTATGACTCACAAACTTCTTTCTCTAGCCCTGTGCACTCATTCACACAAATTCTGTGAAGTCTCCTATCCTCACATGCTTGATGGCCAATTCCTTTCAAACGGCTTCATGTCAGCTTAAGTTCAGTATCGCTAGGATCC